TAATACATTTTCTAGTGTCAAGTTATTAAATTCAAAGGACAAAAAAGTTACTGTTGTACTTTCAGTATGGACATTTCAGTTTGTACTTTTTTACTTTAAGGAGTACTTTTGCCTCCTGAGTGGGTCCTTGGAAGAAAAAAAAATCCTGATCCGGCTGGCCCCGAAAGGTTTGTGAAGCCCTGGTCTAAACGTCCCAGCGCAACGTTTGCAGGATACCTGAGCAAGGTGACATTCAAACGGGCGAGGAGCAGCAACTCCCGCTTATCCGATGACCATCTGGCTCCAAAGTGTAGCGATACGCGGCATAGCTGTCATTCCGCGGGGGCTCCAGCGACATTAATGAGCAGCCTCCGCGGGGGTCAGGAGACTTATTATCGAGATGCCGCAGACGGCTCAGGCTGCCAAAAGGGACTCACTGGAAAGCAATCTTATTAACTAGAGGCCCTTAGTAAACGTCTTTAGTCAGCCCTACGCGACACAAATGTGTAAGAAAGTTGTCGTTGTGTGACGCCAGACAGGAAATAAAAGTTTCAGTTTACACACTCATACCCAAAGTGAACGTACCTTTTTGGACTTGCAGAGAGAGCTTCATGCTGTATAATTTCGTAGAGACGAAAAGGGGAAAAGTGGGGCGTTTATCAAGTCAAAACGCCAACATAACTGGGAATCGGGTGCTCGATCGCTGGCTGGCTTGCTTAGCTCGTCTGTCAACAAAACTGCAGCTAGCAGAAACGTTGGCTAGCTAGCTCACCACGAAACTACAACGCCGCCCCACACCCGTGCCTCTCAGTTTGGGAAAGATGGAGCTGCACAAATTCTCTCCCTAAAATGTTCGCTTTCCCACCAGTTGAGGCATGTTCGCTGTTTTTCTCCGCCCGCGGCGATAATTCAGCGCGATGGTTGCCGTTTGACAGCTCCCTCAATCGTCGATGGTATCGTCCCCCATTCCCTCTTTCGCAGGACTACCGGCCCCGCCCACCTTTGAGTGACAGGCTGGTCGGCGAATCGTTTTTTCTAATGTTCGCTTCTGTGAACTGTCAATAATAATAATAATAATAAGATGTATAGGTTTTACTTTTTAATGACAATATACCGCACTGGATTAATCCTTGGTTTAAAAAAAGCATCTATCTATCTATCTATCCATCTATCTATCTATCTATCTATCTATCCATGTGACGGGTCATAGTGACACTAGTGAAGATAAGCGATACAGAAAATGGATGGATGGGACATGATTTATTAAATTAAATACAATACAAAAAACTCTTGTTTTAGAACAAATACGAAAAAGAGAATCAAAATAATTTCAAAATTGGCGTGAAGAGTGCAACTCCATCCCCACCTGGTGGATAAACCCAAAGCTTCACACTTTACACACTAACGAAGAAGTAACTAACAAAAGTTTTCATCGTCATTTAGAAATGCATCTTGTCACACACCATGACTATTTGTTTTGTGGTATTATATGTTTAAAAATATAACAGTTAATTATAATTTTAACATCCATAACTTTCCGCGTTGGTTATGAACGTATTATGACTTCTTGCAGTCGCCGTAGAATCACGTCACGTCACATTACACGCATACTTCCTGTTGTATTACGGTAGAGTCTGCATTCCCATCGTCAGAGAGGCCACTTGTAACATAACAATATTTAAAAGGAGAAAACTAATTGTAACAGCTCAACGTTTTAAAACAATTTTCCATCTGCCATGTCGACGCAACCGGCTCACGGCGCAGCTTTCCAGAGTAAGTTAGCCTCCATCATGGAGACGCTCGCCCAGGCGGCTGTGTTGGAGATCGCGCAGCTGTGGGAGGATGCCTTCGCTCTGGTCCACGCCGAGCTCCGCCGCAGGGAGCGGGAGGTGGAAGCCCTGGAGAGGAAGCTGCTGGAGAACCAACAGCGGGATACCAATGTGTCGCCAGCGCCGCTTGGCTCCTCCGGCGGGGAGCAGCCGCCGCCAACAACAACAGCAACCAACGATGGTAACTAAATACAGCTAGCTTAAGTTGTTTTTCTAAAGTGTGTGTGTATCCTTCCAAATTTTGCGGTGAAGTTTCAAATTTGGCGCAATTTGAGTTCGTCACTACTTACATGAGTTAACAGTAACTGATCAACCCCTAGGAATACTAGACTCTGTTTTCGCTATTTCTGGTGCTGTAACACATTTATAATGTGTTTAAAGGGCGTGTTTTATCAGTTGATGTGATTTTGCTTAAAAATGTTTTTATATGGTCTCCCTGTATATCACAAATTTTCACCCATTGCGGGTGGCTCTGCAACAGCAGTCCCCTCAACCAATCATGGAGCAGCACTACCCCTTCCGGAGAACCCAAGCGAGCAGACCATCAACGAAAACACAGCCGACGAGGAGTTCCCCGTCAAGCGAGAGGACGACGAAGACGACGTCATGATTGTGGAGCAGGTGATCGACTCAGAGTCTGCCGTCCCCGCTGACAGGCCCTCGGGTCGCGGCGCAGACGTTACCGGTGAGGATCAGGAGAGCCGCATGTGGTCATCCGTTTCTGTAGGCGACAGCGACACCGCAGAGGAGGCGGACTACTTCTTGGCCACCAATTCCAAGAATGTGGATTCGGAGATTCTGCTCATTGAGAACGCCTTGGACATTCTGGATAATTCCTCTGACAGATTGCTCGCGGATGGCAGACACACTGCGTCCAGTCACTCGAGGGCTCCGGTGGCTTTAAGACAAACTCATCCCCTCGGGCAATCTGGCGAAAGGCGACAGTCCTTCCTCTCGGGGAAATTGAATCCAGACAACGGCATTTTCATATTGAACGACCCGAGGCTGGGCAAAGAAGTCGCGGGGAGGCGCGTCAAAGAGAAGTGGTTCATCTGCCCATTCTGTGGCAAGAGCTTCGACCGCGTCAGTCACCTGGAGATCCACCAGCGCATCCACACGGGTGAGAAGCCGTACACATGCGACATGTGCGGCAAGTCTTTCTCACAGAGGAGTAACCTGCGCACGCATCAACGCACGCACAAGGACGCCCTCGGGCCTCAGTGACCCTTCAAGACTAAGAGGAATGGAGTAACATTTGGTTTATTACAACAAAATAAACTTTGACACCGACTTCCAACTTGCCACGGTCTTCCAACCAAACACACAAAATGACAACTTCCTGCTCCAGTGGACCGAAAAAAAAAATGGAGCTAATATGCTGGAGCCTGTCAGTGGGAACTTGGTTCACTGACAAATCTGTTTACAATTTTTTTCCCTGGACAAATATTGTTTGGCTTCACAAACTATGCTTCCTAACATCCACACAGAACACAATGTAATCGTCATTTGGGCTGCTTGTCACATAAGTTGTACTTGTTTTTTTTTTCCTGTAAATTAGCCCTTAGTGTGGATCCCAAGACACTAAATTGTGCTAGTAAGAAACCCTGAAAAGTGTCACTGTTACGCTAGCATCCATTTGGTTCTTGCTAGCAGGGCTGGGCGTGTGCTGCCACATACTTTTTTTTTTTTAATTGTTTCTTTTTAAGTGCTGTAAAGGTCTCAACACACCAAGCCAATTTTTTTCCCCTAGCCCGTAATACCCCTCCATGCCATCAGTGGTAGCATAGGGGTTAGTGGTAGTTACTGTTCCCTGGTCCTCCAAAAAAGTAACCGAAACTTCCAGTCTGCAAGCTGTACTAGCACGGCGGCTTCTACTGACTAATGCTTCTGAATTGGTTGTCAATATGTGTGCGAGGCAATGTAAATATCGTGCAAAATAAGCAACTCCTGCACATGCTTTCTCCGGCTGCATTCTACATCGCTGTTTGTTTGCTTTGTTACCTTCCGACAACCAGTGTCGATTTAACATGTTGAATCAAACGAAAACTGCCCGCCAAGGGCGCAAGCCCCACTTGGCCAGCGTCGGCTTGGTCTATTGAGACTTTTAACAGAATTCTGTTCTTACACCCGCGGAAATGCAGCTCACCCATCAGTCACTGCTTCTGCCCAAAAGAGAACGCTGCAGGACAGCTTTTTGGAATGTAAACGGTGCTTAAGAAAGGCGACTTGTCACAAGAGATGATGCTTGTGGTGAGAAAGACAGCACTGACTCGGACAGGCCATTTAAACACACAATACATTCATGTAATGAAGTGTGTGTGTGTGTGTGTGTGTGTGTGTGTGTGTGTGTGTGTGTGTGTGTGTGTGTGTGGGGCTTTCAACCTAATTACATTTCATGAAAGCAATTTCTTCTTATTTATATTTTATGATGCAATGCTGTTTTTCTATATTAAAAAACATAAAAAATAGTGTTGATTTGGGGGGTTGTAACGGATTAGTAGCATATTCATTCATTTCAACTGGAATGGTTAGTTTGAGATACCGGTGTTTACAGTTTTTGAAGGATTCCTGCAAATTATAAATGGTAACAAATTATTACCCTAAAATGTACACTTTGGGTGTGTTTTGGTGGCGAGGTGGCAAAGTTTGCCGCAGCGCTGCACCCAAATGAAAAAAAAAAAACAAGTGTACCAAACCTGTCCAGTCCACGCGGTTCAAATTTAGTAGCAGTCGGTAAAAGTCTCTTAAGAATTTGCCTGCGATCGTCCGAAAAAGATAATCAGCGCTTAAAATGGCTTTTTGAAACCAAGATAGTAGACTTGCTCTGTCTTTTTGCACATGGCTTCTGAAATCAGAGTGGTTCGCTGAGCAAAGTTTAAGCATTTATAGTCAAACATTCCCTGGAAAAAAAAAAAAGTTTTATCTACAGACAGAATTTTACAATACAAGAGTGATTTCAAATCGATGCTGCGCTTAAATGAATAAAAACATTCACAAGTTACATGATTCCAATTGTGATTGAACGCAACAAGTAGCGTAACACATACTTTCACTCACGACTCAACACTGCAATAAAACAGGTTTGGCCCATTTGACCGTCCCACCATCTGCACATCATGCGGCTCAGAAACTGGTGTCAATCCTGATCGTGACTGATGCAAACAGTAAAATCAGCTATTACTAATTTAAAAAAAATGTAAGATTTGGATGTGTACTGGGATTTTAAAGTCATTCTGCAAATTTGCTAAACGGTTTTCTGTTGAACCCCCGTCGCTCACTTTTCTCTTCCTCTTGTGTTGAAAGCGATTGTCACGCACCACAACTATTTTATACATCACACCGAGTTCTAAGAATCTGAAGTTCTCAATCATTTCAGGTCCCTGAACGAAAAGGTTCCCGAGAGATATATTCCCCGAAGGGCTTACCTGCATCTTTTTGGGGCTCTGATGAATGATTCTAGAACAAAATTTAGGCACTAGCATTTGCAACGCAAACACACAAATGTCCTCCAAAAGTTCCTCATTTCCCCATCGTGAAAGTGGCAGTTTTTCTGCGACATCAGTTTTCTTGCGACCACACTTAACAAGGCCCGTTTTCTGGCCTGGAACTACAGAATAGTTCCGATGGTCGAAATGCTGGCTGGCTCTTCTGTTCCAGCTCTGATGTGGCAATTTTCAAAAAGATTCCAAAAGCTTTGGAACGTCGCAGTCCACTTCGCAGACTCTTGTTTCGGTCCCCTATAAAATGCACTTGATTTAAATGTGGACACGAAGCTCCAAACACAGAATGGTCCTCCCATAGTTTCTAGTTCCAGGGTGTACAGTTTCCCCATGGTGGAAATAGTGAATCGTCTGTAATGGCTCCGAGGCAGCAATTTCTTTAGTTCTTGGATCTTTGGAAATATCCTGCCTTCACCGTTTGTGTGTATAAAAAAAAAGGCACGTAATTATCGAGGCTATATGGGCCATATTCTCCCATTCGTGTGTAAGTCCTTTTTTTTTTTTCTTAACATGCCTGGCTTGTATACTACTCTGGAATGACTTCTGGTGATATTGCGCGCAGCCGACAAAGAGGTGTCACTCTGCTGTAAGATGACAGGACGTGAATGCCACAGAAATCCACATAGGAAAAAAATATAACACTTTAAATCTAAAATTAACTTCCACAGTGGATATATGTTATACCTGTATGACAGTATGACATGCGTGCTCGTCTAACGCTACTTAGAGGGAGCGTGTGATCTTATTTTATTTTTTCTATGCTGTGAGAAGTATTTCCAGTAGAAGTGATTAATTAGAATACTGTAGTTATGACTGAACGCGTTTGGGGAGTGCGCCGGCCGTTGATTATCAGCGGTGTCCCGCAACTGGGCTGCAACCAGAGACCACGGGAGAGTCACTTCAATGCATTTTACGAGCGCCGTCGATCAACCGGGAAACAAAACGATTCTGAATCGAACTCCTCCCCATTGCGCCATATACGACGACTGCAGCTGTTGTAATATCGAGTGGCTCTTCGAAAACATAAACTCGGGGAGCCGCTGCGGCATCGTTTAAAGCTGAAAAGCAAGTGAACGAGTCCACCGTTGCCGATATTTTTTTTTTCACCAATTAATCTGCTAATACTGCATTTTGACCGTCGGCCATTGGCATAATGTGACACGAGTCAGCTGGCTGAATCTCAATGTGCGAGATCATGTTTCACAGTCTCTGGAGTGTAGAAGAGTAAAAAGTGCTTCAAGACCATGAGAGAATGCGCGGCCAGATTTGAAAACACCCACGGTTGTTCCACCCGCAGTGCCTACCTGGTATCAGGGTTACGTATATGAATGGTTTAACTTGACCGGAGAATGCGCGCCGCTGCACACTCTAGATGACTTGCGCACATGGGAGACTATGGCACTATATGAGCTGACCGTGGGGGTGCAACAAGATGCCGTTGGTTTGCGGCCGTGGCCGGAGGGTGCCGTTACTGTAGTAGAAGTGATTGGTGAGCGCTCGGGAGAGTTGGTACGAGTCCACGGCGTCCTCCTCGCACTCCGGCCCGCCGGCAGCGGGTGCCGTCAGGGTCGGCGGACCCCAGTTCTCTTCCGGCGTGGGCACGGAGATTTCGCAGACGTCCGAAGGGTCTCTCGTTCCCACTGCGTCGTCTGACTGGTTTTTCAAAGGGAGCAGAGACGATGGAAGACCAGAATCCTGCAAGTATACACACAACAATATTTAATAGATACATACATATACATTACGATATATGCCGGTAACATATCGAATCAATTTAATTTAATACAAAAGAGAAATAAAACCTTAAAAAAATATTACTCATTATGAATTATTTAAAATTATTTTAAATATTTTGGACATGACTTATTTAAAATTGTTACATGTGAATTCTTACCCTGCACATCTGCACTGTGAGACGGACATGCAAACCCACTGTGTCGGCCATTAAAAGACCATTTATAATGTAAAAAGAAAAGGTTTTTTTTTATGTCATTTTATTTCAATCCAATGGGGGAAAAAAAAAAAACTATCATTGAAGTGAGAATGTTTTTTGATAGATGCTGACCAGTACCAGCGACATGTTGCTGCTCTTCTGGTATGAATTGGCCCTCCTCCTGGGGTCGTCCTTCTCCACCCTGGCATTGTCGCCTTCATTGTGCCAGACGGCGGGGAGGCCCTCCGCCTCCAAGCTCCCCTGGGGTGCCCACCTGCCGCCCAGAGTGGACTGGCTCCCTTTGTAGATGGGTCGCTCCTGCAGTGCAGAGGACATATAAACCATTATTAGTATTATTAGGAGTCAAAATGGAGGAGGTTGGAGGGTGGGGAAGACTCACCAGGGACACTTGGCTGGTTTTCATGCGGCTGTCTGATCGAAGCAAAGCGTAATCTTCAGACTGGGAACAAACAATGGCATGGATTAACATTTTGGGACGACAAAAAAAAATCTCTCTCTCTCACACTATCTCACTATGATATGTGTGTGTGTGTTCTAATTATTTTTCCCTTCGATGCTAGTGACGCAGACATGTCGCCAGAACGCAAATAGCGCCCCCACGTGGGCGTGTGTGTACCTGCGCTCGTGGATCCGAGCCGACAGAGTTGAGCCTCCGAAAGGAAGCCTGCCGGGACAAATTGTTGACTTCCTCCCTGAGAAGAAACAACGACGACGGCAGCAGCAGCAAGTTTACAACAAAAGCTTTCAACATGTTTGTTCAATTTCGGACTTGCCGTGTGGCTCACGTTTTGACGCTGAGCTGCCTCACGAGCTTTTTGTTGCGGCGCCGGTGGTGACGCAGAAGCAGCAGGACCACGACGGCCATGAGGAGGACGGCGGCGGCGGCCGAGACGCCGATGATGATGACGAGGATGGACGAGTCGGATGCCACGGTCTCCTTGCGCTGAGATTTCTCTGCAAGGAAAGACGCTAACACACGGTGACTCGTTCACGTGGGAACAACGCACGCTTCTACTAAACTACTGCAGCTATTAGATGACAAGGCTCGTTTCGGGTAGGTATTGGTTTCAATATTAGATTGACATATTTTTCCTGCCTTTATGTCGATAACCCCAAAATATTTTAAAATATATTTCATATATAAAATATTAAATAAACAAATATAATAAAAATATTTCCGATTTTCTTTCCCAGAAATATTAGGATTTTAAATCGTTTGAAACAACTAATTAATAATATTAAAAATAATAACAATAATAATACATTTTATTTACAAGCGCCTTTCAAAACACTCAAGGACACTTTACAATCAAGAACAAAAACAATAAAACCACAGATAAAATTATAAATAAAAAAAGAAGAGATTAATTTAAATTGGGTATGTAATAAGTATTGTACTGAAATAAACAAAACAAAAATTCTAATTAATAGATTTAAATAAAAATGTAACAAAAACCCTTGATTTTTTTTTTTTTTTTTTTTTTTTTATGATTTCGCATTTCAAGATTGTGAATACAAGCCCTCACGTCTGACAACCAATGGCAGAACATTTGACAACAGTTGTGCAATATAAAAACAGGTTCAGGGACTTATAATCGTCATGAAAAAAAACAACAAACCAAATAAAACATTTAAAGGCATCTTTCTGAAACAACAGCATACCAAAGCCTCAGCCAAATGCTGTTAGTAAGATTCACCACAAGGGGGAGGCAGAGTCGCAGCACAACAATAAGCAGCAGTTCGCTTCCAATAATTCTTTGGAGTGCTTATTTTCATTCAATTTGGGAAAAGAAGAAGAAAAAAAAAAGCAAAGACACTCACCAGTCACAGTCATCAAGTAGTCGGCTTTGGCAACGCCCACGCCATTGCCGACGACACACTGGTACAAGCCACTGTCGTCCAGATGCAGGGCTCGACCGAACGTCACACGTCCTCCCGACGCCGTGACTCCATCTGGCAGAGCCCCGCCCTTCCTGCGCACGCCATAGAAGTCAGTCGGCATGTATTCCTCCTATCTAATGTGTTGACGGTTTCCGTTAAAGCATCGCCATCCTGTATGGTCATGACAGTGTCATTATTCGTCCGGCTATTCTGCTTCTCCTCAATGCTGTCACTCCCAACTCTGATATTATTATTTCAGCAACACAAGCTCATTTTGGGGAGGTTTATATTTCTTTGTTGTATGGCTCGAGTGAAACCGCCAAAGTGCATGAACCTGAACCATAAAACCATAGCCAATTCCCTGTAAATGTCTACTTAGTCTGATGAAAGGACCCACAATGGAGACGGTTGGATCGGGTTGCCCCAAGTTTCACCACGAATATCACTTAATAGTCCCCTTCCCTCCCTGCCAACATCCCCACCCAAGCCCAAAATGGAGCTGGCTCACGTTTCATGTGGCTAAATTCCCACCTAACCTGCTGAGAGACAGTTGGAGGAAAGGCTTCGGTTCATGGATACCATTTTTGCAACACACAATGTTGCTGACAGTCCCTGCTACTTTTTTTTTTTTTTGTGTGTGAACATGTGTTGTTTGAGCATGTTGACAGTGCTCGTTAAAGAGCAACGCAATGATTAAGTGCTTAGCGCTTATCTCCTGCTTGTGAGGACAAAAAAGGCCCTCTTGTCTTTTCCTAACTGCCGTTGCGTGTTATCCGAGGATGATGACACATTCCTATTAAGCGTGGGTTACTACGGCGTGAGTGTGTATGCGTGCGTGTCCTACCATGTCCAGGTGATGTTTTCAGGTACGGGAAACCCGGTGAAGTCACAAGTGAGTGCCGCCTCCTCCAGACCTGCAAACCAGTCATCCGTTGTGACGGAGATGGTGGCGTCCGGGGGATCTGTACAGATACCATATCATTTTTAGTATACAATTTAAATAAAACGATGCATCCAATAGGAGAGAGGTTGGCGGAGTGATTTCAGAGTGCCAACAACAATAAAGCATCGGTAGTACTTCTGGGAGGCTGCTCAGCAACCACTTCCCAATATGGGCAAGCTGGCACTAAAGCGTAGCCAGTCGGAGGAAGTCTTTTAACAGGTAGAGTCACCCACCCGTAGCTGACCTAATGTCGTTTAGACAGCAAAACAGAATGGAATCCAAAGGATTTTCAAACTGTTATTTTTTTCTAAATTTTATTGTAATGAGCGGAATAATGCAAACTCGAGTTTATCCGTAGTGTGGATGTGGCACAACTACCCACACCTGACTTTCAACCTTCTTCTTTAGACAGCAATGGGGATGAGCCGCAAAACAATTTTGTCCTCGAACTCCGCCCAACAACAAGTAATCGCACAAAAATGCTTCGAGAACTCAGAGCCTGCCAGTCGGTTCACAATTTTTGAAAACATTTATAATGAATCACTTGCTTGTAATAAATGCAATACAAGAGTTCCCTGAAGCTATATGAAGTCTATTAATGCCTTTAGACAGCAGTGGGTAACAAGCATGGATTGCTCCCAATGCTGCTCAAAGCCACAAGGGGGCGTATTTATTTGGGATTGCTACAATGTATTTGGCACCGCAGATTGACTTACAGTGCACCACCAGTTTATTCGTGATCCTCCGTGGGTGCTCCAGGCCAGGGTGGCGCACCAGACAGTCCAGGTTCTTGCCATTCATGCTACGCAGCGGGTGCAGCGAGTAATAGCTGGAGACAGAGCCTCCCTCGTTGGTGCGGTTGTGGGTCTGACCGGGCACGGTGGTGTCCCAGGAGAGGGTGGGCAGCGGGCGGCCCACGGCGCGACATGAAGCGGCCACACGGAACGACTGGCCCTCCACCAGCACCAACGGTTCCAGCGAGGCGATGGGAAGCACTGGATGGAAAGAAACATTGTGGTTCCAAAAGTGAAGTGGCTTCAGATTGCGTGTGTGGTTTGCTACGTGCTTTGGTGAATGTATTGTTTACGCGAATGAGGAAATCGGAATGAATTTGTGAATATTTCATGAGCTACTAAGATACAAATAAAAATTCAATTTAATTGAAAAAAAAAACTCAAAAAAAAACAGAAAATGCCACATTTTTACAATAAAATAATATGAAGAAAAATATATATAAATATTACTAAAAACCAAAAATAAAATGTAACATTTCAAGCATAACGTTTTACACATGTTAATATATTAGTTACTGAATATTATACAATTTGATGTATAAATCGTGTAAAAAAAACAAATCACTTATTTTTTTTCTTGTTTTTGCACCAGCAATTTAATTCATCTCTTTTTTTTTCCAAGATCTATATTGCTGTTATTGTATTTAATTGTAAATGAAACAGATGTAAATATTTGGAGGCCTGTGTGTGTTGATTTTTAATGCACTTCAAGACTCAATAGGAACACAAATGGTGTGACAGCTTTAAGTCCCCATTGATAACTTAAGACATTCTTTTATTTATGAACTTTGTTGGCCATTCCTGAGTTTAATACAGCCGATAGTTGAGCTGCTATTGCAACATCATGTTTATGCTATAATTGAAACTAATTGTGCCTGACTATAAGTGGCTGTAATTACTTCGGTCACGAGGGAGCTTAGTCAATATTTTGCTGTGTTTGTTGTTTTGTTTCCCCTGTCAAGGCAGCAACAACATGAACAACAAATTAATCTGTCTTTGAGTGTCAGACAAGTTTTCATTGTGCTTTAAAAAAATGCATGCTAAACATACATGATAGATGCATGATGACAAGCATGTGGACATACATTTTGGAGGGCAGGTGATCAAATCCACCAAAAAAAAAAGAAAAAAAAAAATCTTAAGTTATTCATAAAGTTAGAAAATAAGTAGGATGTATTTAACTCACATTCAGTGACAAAATTAGTTACAGCGGGAAGTGAAAGCAAGCTACAGTGTCTCTAAAAAGTCAACACGTGCCTTTTTAAATGCCAGATTTTTGTGATATTTAAAACAAATGGGCCCAAGAAAAATAATTTTTAAACTTTCCGCATCAACTCAATTGTTTGTGGGGTTGGGGGGAATAAAAATAATGCCGCCACCGTTTAAAGCGCCTCTGATTAAGGAAAAATAAAGTCCAGATGTTGTAAGAGGCTTGCTGACACACAAATAGAAAACTGGTCAGGGAAGCTGCATTGAAGCTGGCAGCAACACAGAAGGACATGCAAGAATTTCTGACAAGGACACGTGACAACAATCTCCAGTCCTCTGCATATTTCTGGGCTATGCGGGAGGCTGGAAGACGGTAACACGCGGGAAAACGTGTTATCGTGCAATGAAACCACGGTTGACAGTTTTGGCCACAATTCCAAAAGGCAGTTTGGCAGAAAGCACGCCACCCATCACCGAAAAAGAAGAGCACACCTACAGTGAAACAATGTGGTGACTGCATCGTGCGTTGGGTCTGTTTTTTTCCACCAACTTGCATCATTAGTGAAGGTGGAGGTTAATTAGAAACAATTGCAAATTGCAGTGATTATTAATATGGGTGCTCTTCATACGAAAAGGTGAGCATTTTCCGTTGTCGTTCCTAAAACGCCCATGTTTTGCATGTTTAGGAGACAGCGAGCCAGTCGCGACTGGATGTTTTTAGCGGTGCTATAATGCAGCGGTCCCCAACCTTTTTTAGCCACACAGAGCGGTATAAATCAGACAATATTTTCAGGGACCGGCCTTTAAGGTATGACGGATAAATACAACAAAATAATATGATATGAACTGCATGAAAGCTGTGGTATTTTCGAAAGATAGTAATAAACCCGAATCATGACACGAGGAACGTCCTTTCTGGGCGCAACACTGGTGGCTGTGGTAACTTTTAAACGTGCCTTCAAAATAAGTTATACCGCAAATACAAAGTGAATGAAAACTACGACCCACCATCCCCGCATGTTATGCAGAGTGGGCTTGGTGTGTGGGAATCTCCCGTTGTGATAAATCCATATTTTAAGTCGGACTCCTGATACTGTCTATTAAGTGTAAGCTTATTTTTCTTGAAGGTGGTAGGATCCTTTTCTGTCTCTTGACTGGTTCCCCCGTTCCCCCTTCCCAAAGACGTTTGTTTTTTACTCTGTTTACAAGCTCCTGGGTTTGATTTTAGTGGTAACCCGTCACGTGACCGAAAATTGCGTCAAGAGTGACATATTGTAGACGGATGTTACAAAAGATCCGGTAATTTTTCAAAATAAAACATGCCAGATTCCGAAATAAATAAAACGGAAGTAATTTATTTATTCTTTCTGTGCGGCTCGGTACCAAATGACCCACGGACCAGTGCCGGGCCGCGGCCCGGGCGTTGGGGACCACTGCTATAATATTTAATGGCGTTGTTCAATTTGGACCATATTACTTACTTTGCTCAGCCACTGTAAATGGAAGAGGAGGAGGAATAAGGCTCAGAAGAACTCACACAAATGCTGCAAAATACTTACTTCTCTTACTGACAGCGAGGGTCATTTTTATTTTCAAATATTGATCAACGAAGAATAAAAGTTCTCATCCAGAGCAAAAAGGGTGCACCACTAAGTGTCTATCTGTGCACGTCTGCACAATGACAAGAAGCAAAAGGTCACCCGGTCAGATTTGCATTACTTTCGACAAACACATTTTTGTGTTGTGACTCCCCAGTACTGACCGGTTCGACGTGACGGTGATTCACACACAAATCACAAAACTATCTGCATCAAACAGGAAGTGAGCAAGAACAACAAATCAAGCCCATCGGCACGGACAGAAAATAGCGCTCAAGACAGCAGAACCCGATTCAACAGAAACTCAACACAAAAAGTGACACCACAAGGCACTGCCTGCTACCGTTGATTGACAGCTGAGGGGAAGTCTCTGGGTCAAAGAATAATCGTGTCAAAAAATAACTCAAATTGATTGAAGAGGACTTGGGGAAAAAAACAGACGCTATCGCTAAATGCTGTACATAAAATACAATTTGACGAATTGTATTATTTCATGAAGTTTTTTTTTTAAATTGGATCATTTTCATAATGATTTATTTTAATTTTATTGGAAATTGCAGTTTTCATTTGTTATTTTTTGTATGATTTCGGTTTTATGATACTGTAAATAATTTATTTTATTTTTTTATTGTATTCTAATTGTTTTAGAGCATATTTTGGTATTTTTATTGTCTTTTCAGTTTTTTAATGCTTTGATTTTATGATTTAAATTCAATCTAATCACACATAATTATTCTACATTTATTTTGGTTATATTTGAGTTGAAAACTGGTCTTTGCTGAATTTGACATACTTTCTGGCTGCTTGCTTGTATTTCTTTTATCTACCGCAACCCATTTAGGCAGCAGATCAAGTGGGCCTGAATAGTCAGCAACCATTTGTAAAGCCCCCATCGCTTCAGCGTGTGACAAGCGCATTGTGTGTGGAGCAAAAACAAAAAGTCAAATTCAAAACGTACCCCACACGGTGAGCTTGATACGCCTCTCGAAGTTTCCGTTGGGGAATGTGGAAATGTGGCAGGTGTACGTGCCATCGTCAGACTCTTCCGTGTTGGGGATGAGTAGTGCCGAGTTAGAGGTGGGCTTGTCGCTCTCGAACCTCATGCGACTTGCGTAGCTTCCGAATTCTGACGGATAGGAAGGAACATTTTTTTAATCATCGTAATCTATACAGTAAATCAATCCACCCAATACAGTTTCAGTGAGCAACATGAAATTCGGTAGGCATGTATATTAGAGTAAACCCACAAAAAAAGCATCAAGACGCCATGCCTGAAATCTCAAAGGAAGTTGGCCATTTTGTTTTGAAGCAGCCATTTTAGAATCGTTTGGGGGAAATTTTACATTTAGGCCAAACTCAGATCTTTTTTTTTTTTTCTTCCCCAATTTCAGTTTTTCAATTCAGCCTTCAAAAGTAGTTTCACTTTGCAACATGAACTTTAACTGCTACATCTATCATTTGTAGACTCACAAAAAAAGTCTCCATGAGCTGTCCCTGAAAGAGACAAAGGAAGCCTGCTATTCTGGCTTCAAGCAGCCTTTCTAGGATCATTTTGGTGCAAATTTACGCCAATGCGTATTGACAGAACATGGTGGCAACGTTTTGGTGACTGACCGCAACACAGTAAAAACACAAAAACGAGTCAGCCGTAACGCTGATGAGTTTGCTTTACCTACCTGTGTACCCATCTGAAAAATGGGCAGTGATGATCTGGTCCTTGGTGCCGTCACGCAGCTCCTTGTACCAGGTCACTTGCACCACCCTCTCGCCCACGCTGCCCTGGTAGCGACACGGCAGCCGGGTGATACTCTCGGCCAGCGAGCGTTGCGATGTGACAGCCCGGAGTGGCTCAATGAAGACGCCCTGCGTGCACGCTGCTGGTGCAGAAATGAAAAATATCAATAATAGTCTTACAGTGGTATTCCACGGTGCAGATTATAGTAAAAAGAAAAAAAAAAAAGAAGAAGAAGAAGGGGAGTGGTTTCACTTTTTTTAATTGTATTGTTCATTGTGGTTAGCGTGTCTTTTGACTGATGAAATGCACACGCGAACAGATAATGACATGTGGTGAAGCAGGATGTGGCTCACTGCCCAAGTTTATTCCAATACGCTCTATTCCGAAATTTGTATGTTTGTCAATACGAGGCAGTAGCCCAACTACAAAGTCAACAATTAAATTTCTCAGTGTTTGTTACAGTAATTTTGATAATACTGGCATTAAAAAAACATGTTTTTTGTGTTACAGTAATTTTGATAATACTGGCATTAAAAAACATGTTTTTTGTGTTTGTTTGTTTGTTTGTTTGGGTTACTGTGTCGATGCGTTGATAACCATACGCATTCGGGTGCCCATGTTACATTCTGCTGCGCCTGTTTTATCAGGCGAGGAAGAAAAGAAAGAGGGAAACCAGCAGAACAGAATGCGGCCGTATGACATTCTTTGACTTGTTGCCCAACTCGGGTCACCCTGTTCGTTACCTCCGCCAAGGAATTGAGACATCTTAGTGTTGACGTGGGCTTTTTTTATTTATTACTTCCTGTCTTCCTCTTTAGATTATTGTAATGCGGCATTATAATGGATAGACACTGGTGTGAAGACAAGAGTTCAGAACATTCTTAGAGCAAGTGAAGCATCCCGACAACCTTAGTCAAACACCGTCCTTAATAATGACAACTTCATTCATACACAATCACTTGACACTTGTCAGAATTATTCTACATATAACAATACATCAAATTCAGATCTGATCCAGATTGCACATTTGGCAGTCATGTAACCGCAACAAATTCCGTCAATCTCAGTCAAACCGTGATTTAAAAAAAATAAGATGGTCATACAAATGCTCGTTAGAATGCCAAATTCTGAAAAAAATAATTATCTTCGTGAGGCCAGGTTGTGTAAAGAGAACTGGAAAAGCCTGTGTGGCCACAAAGCTATGGTGCGTTCAAGCAAGCTCGTATTTGTCTGAGCTGTTGTCATCTAATCTTTTTTTTTTCCCACGCGGAGCTTCTGTTTGACCCTTATCAGCACTGTAATCATTAATCAGCAGCCTTATCAATCAGTAACCACTTTGGTTAAAAAAAAATGGGGAAAAAAAGAAAGCCCCATTTCAAAGTACATATGTTTGACTTGTCCGTGTTTGTGTCCCACGCCTCAGTGTGTCGACAGCTATGTCACTATAAAGCCAAATGTTTGCATTGGCGCCCATTTCCTCAATATTCCTATCGATACCTGCCACATTTGTCACAACAGTTCATAAGAACCGTCGGTACTACCATCTTTTATAAGATTTTTATCCTTAATACCTCCATCCCCCGAAAAAGGTTAGAAGAACAAAAGTAACGTTAATCAGTGTAATAGGACTATATCGGTTTTTAAAGTACTAACCGACTGTCAAGTATTTGAAGGCAACACGCTACTCACCGAAGAGGAAGACAATCAGCGGTGAAAAGTTTGCAATTCGCTGAGCAATTTCCATTATTCTTCAACAAATGAAGCCTCTTTATTCCAGATACTTAAAAAACATATCCGTTGACTACTAAATAATCATAAACTGACAGATTTACTTGATGCACGCGCGTGCAGGTAAGTTGCGTCTTCCACGCAAGTTAAAAAAATTTCTACATTACTTTTATCAAAAGTACTCTTGCAATTGTTTAACTAAAAGTGATGCAAATTTTAAATTATTTGACAAAGGCACTACATAAAGCTTGCTGGCACACAGATGTCTTGCGCAAGTGTGTCTCTCGGTCCCACTGCACTTGCTGCTAGTGAGTGGCGGTTAGGCCACGCCCACTCGCAATTGCGTCGACAAAAGTAGGGCAACCTCCAAAGATTGTGTTTCTCTCTTGCAATTGTTTAACTAAAAGTGATGCAAATTTTAAATTATTTGACAAAGGCACTAAATAAAGCTTGCTGGCACACAGATGTCTTGCGCAAGTGTGTCGCTCGGTCCCACTGCACTTGCTGCTCGTGAGTGGCGGTTAGGCCACGCCCACTCGCAACTTGTGTCGACAAAAGTAGGACGCCCTCCAAAGATTGTGTTTAACAAAGGCACTACATAAAGCTTGCTGGCACACAGATGTCTTGCGCAAGTGTGTCTCTCGGTCCCACTGCACTTGCTGCTAGTGAGTGGCGGTTAGGCCACGCCCACTCGCAATTGCGTCGACAAAAGTAGGGCAACCTCCAAAGATTGTGTTTCTCGCTAATCGGAATAAACAAACCAACACGTTACTATTCTATCTATCTCCAGTACCGCCAACAACAACACTGCCACCTCATTCTTATTTTTACTCATTCCAATAGTTGTAGGTGCCTGCGCTTCCAACAGTCCAGTGGACACTTTTACCTCTATTACAATTAATACAGTAAACTAAATTTAATAGTAGAAATAGAATTAATACTGCTAATCACTGTGGTATTATTTCTACTACTCTGGACGTGTTCTAACTGGGAGAGTAAATTCCTTGTGTGTTTTACGTACTTGGCCAATAAATCTGATACTGATTAATACAGTACACACGAGTTACCTATTGGCGGTGTACAGATAAAATCCATTTGAAATACAAGAAAAAGCTCAAGAATACTTCATATACATGTATACAGGCCGTTTATCACTAGTTGGAGTACTGCTCCTTCTACATGAGTATTATTGAGTTTACTGTGAAGTCTACACACTTTGTTACTGAATATCATTTGGTGTTTGCGGTAAAGTAATTTATACTACTTGTTAAGAGCCAGAGATGCATACATTACATGTGTGTGTTTGTGTGCGTGTGCACGTGTGTAGGGCGAGTCAGCTCACAAGCAGCTGAAAAAGCAACAACAGGTCGGGTTATTCTGGAAAGACGAAATGAAGTCAATAATCACTAGACTTGAGTCGTTAAGACATCCTCCAGTTGCGCACTCGTTTAGACATTTAGATAAAGTACCTGCCATTAGAGAATAGAACTAAAATGAGTAAAACTACTCACCCCTTTGAAGAAACTGGAGAGCGAAAGTGAAGGCGTTGGCAGAGCAATATTGTCTCCTAGTAGCATTTTCTATTGGTATTTATTGGCTTAAGTGTCAGAAAAACAATGTTAAGCAGTGACAAATACAAGTAAAGTAGAGTAAAACCACTCACCACTTTCAAGACATACACTTAACACACATTTATATATGTATGGTGTAAATTTCTTTTTACAATTAAGACATAATTTTTGTAGGTATTTTTCCATGTATTTTTCTATGAAAAAGTCTTAAGAGGATAAGGTGTTTTTTTTTATAGTTGAAAGTAATGTTTGGAGGGAAAAAAAGTCACATCGGAGAAAAAATGCAATACTAAAGTCAATCCTAAAAAAATCTGGGATTTTTATAGATTTTTTTTTAAAAGAAAAAGTTGTTGAAAAAGCTTAAAAATTTTCCCCCAAAATGAAGACTTTTAAAAAAAAATACTCATAAGACGTCTTTTTTTTTTTAAAAACCGATAACGACACAATTTTGGAGGCAGATCTCATCACGATACCTAATAAAGCTCCCAGTGATGAGGCTAGGCAAATTTATGTACGGAATAAGAGGGTTTAATGTTGAAAAATACTAACAACACGCTATACAATGCTAACAAGTTATCAAAAAACAAAACAAAACAACAAAACAGGAAATACAAAGACCCCCAAAAAATCGACATTAGTTGTGTTGTTTTTTTACAGGCCACTTGTAAAAACATTCAGGAAAAAAATTGCACCATAACTTAGGCACCTTACAAAAAGTTATTTAAAAAAAAAAAAAAGTAAAGTCTTGGAGCCCTAAAGAACTCTGGCGAGGAGTTCCTTCCGTTTGAATGTTTTTGTTCGAAATGTGCCAGACACATTTGCACATCGGACCACTTAAGGCAGTTCGTGGTTTGCTGATATGCAGTCTGTGAAAAAACACCCCCAAAAACAAAGGTATTAACATGGGGGATGAGACTGTAATAGGTTTGTCCCCTCCACAAAAAAAAAAAAAAAAATTAAAAATCTGCATTTAGATGTTTAAAGAAAAATAAATTAGCTTAACGCAATCGTGTCAGTTGACAAGGAAATGCACTTAGTAACTAAATGTTATGTTGTCAGCGGTTGTTAAAGCTACTGTATACAGACTTTAGGCAAAAGAACAATGTTGCTTTTTTTTAAGTGTTAATGGTGTTGTTTTTGTGTGTTAGAGGAAAACATCAATGCTAACCGCAAACATGAACAAACAAGAGTGCGAATCGAGTCTTCTCATATTTCCGAAAAGTGACATTTGAGCACACAAGTTGCTACATTCTGGAGTGAGTACCGAAGAAGATCAGGGATGCACTGAAAGAAAATAATTGTACTACGAGAATCAAGCTAAATGCCCACCTCCGAAAAACAGTAGTACCAAAAAAAAAAACAAGTTGCAACCCTTTGAAGGCAGCCATATTTTGTAATTCCATTTTTCAAAAAAGTCTGACTTTTGCAAGAATTAAGTATACATTTTCAAGAATGAGGTTATATTTTTAGAAGATTGCATTTTTCTAGAGTCGTCACATTTTTCATTAATTTGACTTTGAGTCAGATTTTTTTCAAGACCGGTCATGTTGGATTTTTTTTCAAGAATCAAGTATACTTTTTAATGTCTGGCTTTCAAGAACAGTTGTATTTTTCAAGATCAATCATTATTTTTAAGTGATTTTTCAATAAAGAGGTTTTTTTCAATAACTCACTTTCTTGTCAAGAAGAGTTGCATTTTTTGTTTTCAAGAATGTGAATTTCTTAATTGAGAGAAAAATAACTAAGTAAACCATGAAAATAAAATGGTTGATTTTCTTTCCCCAAGAATGGATTCAATTTCAAGTCAGAGAAGTAATTTTATAAAACAATAAAAAGAAATCAATGTGTGGATAATTTTAAATTTTTTTTTGCAAGAACCGTTATTTTTAGAAAAAAAAATCAAGTTGGTCATTTGACAAGGGTAATTAATCGAGGCGACAGTTCTTTTGCCCTAAAATACAACTTTAGTCTCATATTAGTCAAATATTTTTGGGGGCTGGCAGGGGTTTTGACTAATGCACCCCCCAAATTACTTCCTCCATAAAAATGTAACTTCATTCTCTTAAGCTTCCGATTTAAAAAAATATAAAAATCTTTTAGTATAAGTATCATTTCGTTAGCCTAATAACATAATTGCCAAAGTCATCTTTAATTTACTTTCAAAATATCAATAAAAACTAACAACGTGGCTGCTAAAAATTTTTTTTCATTTGCATCGTCTTGTTTGGTGAATTAGTTGTTCTCATTTTTTTAAAATGACTAATGCTAGTATTTAGGTTAATGATTTTTTTTTAAAATCAGTGTGGGCCTAAATCGTGCTTTGTATAAAAACACTAAAAAGGTGTTTGAAAACGGTAAGGAACCATCTGCGGGGGGACAGTGGTGGCGTGTTGCAGTCACAGTTTTTGAGATGAGAGGACGCAACTTTGTCGTCATGATAACTGAGTTCAGTGGTTTCAACAACAAAAGGCGCCTTTGCAAAAAAATGTTTTTTTTTCTTCTTTTGAACAGTGTGTTGGAACAACAACACGGATAAGACGAGTCAAAGGCATCAGGAGCTGATTTGAGTTTTTTTGTTTTTCTTTTTTTTGTTTGTGGCCTTCACACGGAAGTCTCTGACTGGAGCCGCATGACAAACTTGTGGCTCTTGGGGTCCACGAACTCCTCGCTGAGGCGCAAGAAGGGCAGCGGCGTGACGGTGACCACCAGGGAGAAGTCGAGGCGGCGCACGGAGAAGACCAAGCCTTGGCGCAGGGCTGCCGTCACAGGCTCCTCGCTCACCAGCGTCCACTGGCGCCCCCTGCCGTTGTGCTGCTGGTACTGCATGGTAGGGCCCGGGGTCAGGTAACGCTCCAGGAAGGCCTAGCACAAGTTCGATTCATTTATTTAACTTAATACAGAATGGATTTTAACCCATAACTGATCATGAATGACAATTGATGTTTTTCCACAATTTCTAATACATAAACATAGCAAAATAAATTTAATGACATGTTTATTTAAAAAAATAAATAAAATGATAAATGAAATTTACATTCACTATAAATAGCTTCAATTTATAGTGAACCTACGGTGCATGTTTTTGGAATGTGGGAGGAAATCGGAGTACCCGGAGAAAACCCACACAGGCACGGGGAGAACATGCAAACTCTGCGAGGCCGACGCATTAACCAATCGACCACCAGGGCCGCCCGCTTCTTCTGTTACCGTATATTTGAATTCATATTTCATCCACTATATCACGATATATTAGAAGTCTCGTTAGGGTGACAGCAATGGAGTCATTTTCTGACCTTGGGCGTCATGTTGTGCGTGATGCAGAACTGCAGATATAAATAGCTTCAATTTATAGTGAACCTACGGTGCATGTTTTTGGAATGTGGGAGGAAATCGGAGTACCCGGAGAAAACCCACACAGGCACGGGGAGAACATGCAAACTCTGCGAGGCCGACGCATTAACCAATCGACCACCAGGGCCGCCCGCTTCTTCTGTTACCGTGTATTTGAATTCATATTTCATCCACTATATCACGATATATTAGAAGTCTCGTTAGGGTGACAGCAATGGAGTCATTTTCTGACCTTGGGCGTCATGTTGTGCGTGATGCAGAACTGCAGATGCGTAAGGATGCTCTCCATGCTGTGGAAGGCCTGCTGCCGCGTGGTCCTCAGGTATTTCTGCATGGCCCGCGCCATGGGGGCGAAAATGGCCTGCGCCGCCTCGCGGGGGTCCATCACCTCGCGGGGGTGCTTGGGGGACGAGGTCAATGCCACCTCCTCCTCATGGAGGCGTTTGATATGCGTGAAGGCCTCCTCGACTGCCACCACCAGCCTGCAACATGACACGGAATTGTAGTTTGGTTTGGTTTTGTCGTAAGTCTCAAAATTATTATAAAAAAACAAAAACAAAAAAAAAAAAACCCCAAAAAAAACCAATAAAGGCTTAATCTACAGTACTTCACAAAACTTCAGAGGTATTGTCCGCAGTGCTTTAAGACTTCAGCCTTCTTCCACAATAAGTAACAAAACTTCAATTGGCAACAGTGTTGTGGAACTTCAGACTTAGACTGAGCACATGGAAGCTGAGGCTAAGATGACCGTGTGTGGTCGTGTCTCTCTACCTGGCCTTGCGTTTGCGGATCCTGCGGTCCATCTCGGCCTCCTCGTAGTAAAACTCGTTGTGGGAATTGTCTCGCCTCCTGGCGGCGGCAGCGATCATCGCGCGGGATTGGCCCGTCGAATTATTGGCAGGGTTTTCTGTGCAGGACAAGAATAGTTTTTTTCATCAATGTTTTTTTTTTGTTTTTTTGTAGAATTATAAATAACATATATATAAATATATTTGATGAATAATATAAAAAATATATTTTTGACACACAACTAAAACAAGGTTACTTAGGGGTGGGATTGAAGTTACATTTATTTCTTTTACAATATGACAAATTTCAAAACTATTTAACATCACTCACTCACACCTATTTTCCAACATGTTTCGAACCAAACAGGTAACTGAACCATAACATCTTTGTCCGTTTTCTGCACTGTCAATTTGAAATAATGCCCTTTTTTTGAAGCAACAAATGGAAATTAAAAATGTATACAAAATTTTTTTTTTTTTAATCCAATTCATCAATTATTAAAATAATTGTTCGCTGCAGCCCGAGACTACATATACATTGGATATATATCAACTTTCGCTGGATTCTGTCTCAAAGTCAAAGCCCAGTTTTCTATGATAGCTCTGAGCCTTTTGCGCAACGGCAGGAAGAAAAGAGGCGGCAACATTTACCGTCCAGCGAGTAAACTTTGAAGCCTGTCATCTTCTTGGACAGGATGGATTTGGGCAGGTTGACCAGGGCGGGATTGTAGACGGGGAAGTCATTGTAGTAGTGATCCAACACCCAAACGGCAGCCCGCTGGATACTAGAACACACGGTGAACAACTTCAATTGTTTTCTATGTCGGGTACATTCGTAAGGGTTTTACTGGCTGCGTGGGGGTTAAATATATTCACTTATGTGAGGACACGGATGATGGTCACGACCTTGCGATAATCATGAAACAAATACATGCGCAATACTTTATTTCTATCATTCTCTGGCAACGCTTACCTTTTCAAAAGATCACTTCTACAACGTTCATAGAAAATCATCGTGCCCTTGGTATCACGGGTATGCTATTTGTAGAACAGGCCGGCGGGCTACTCATGTGGTCTAAAGCAATCCAGATCGCTACCACTAATGCCCAGAAGATAATGACAAGAAGCACTATAGAAAATGGATGGCTGGGTTTGGCACCGACCTGAGGTGGCCCACGCTGTAGAAGCGACTGGCGCCGTCCGTGCTGCGCACCACTTTGAGGCAGAAAGCGGGCTGCAGGTGGCGCACCTCCAGCAGCACCAGCGCGAGGTACTGGATGAAGAGCAGCGCGTCCACCAGGGAGGCGGCGTACTCCACGATTCCCCGGTAGTCGCGCTCACGAGGCTCGAGCACGCGCACGCCGTAAAAGAGCCAGTAGGACGCCACGAAGAGGAAGACCAGCACCATGAGCAGGCAGCGGAAGACAAAGAAGCGCGGCAGGGTGGCGCGCGGGGGCCGTAGGAAGAGTGCCCACGAGGAAATGAGAAGCACCAGCAGCTTGAATGCTAGCGACACGTAGAGGCCCTCGCAGGGCGTGCCGCACGGCTCCAGGGAGTCGCGCCACAGCGCCTGCGGCAGCACCAGGAAGGCCAGCGGCGTCACCAGCGCGAAGAAACTCAGGCAGCCGCCCAATGCGGGGCCCAGGAAGCGTTTGCACTCCAGAGGCGTTGACTCCTCCAAGTCCTTGGTGACTCGGGTCAGGTCCTCATTGGAGATACTGTGCTCTGAAGTCCCCGTGACCACGGTGGTGGTCTCCCCCCAGTTGTCGTCCTACCAGACAAGAAGAACGGACGGTGAATGAAGTTAAATCATCAATATTTACATGTCGATGTGTAGCCAACATGAAAACTAGAGACTTGTTTTTTTGTCACTGACCCGGTCGTCTCCGCGAGTGGATTCTGCATCGAGCAGTGGCTCTCCGGGCGTCTGAATCGTCACCGACTTGTCTCCGCGGCTGCTGCCGTCTCTGCTTTTGGAGCGATGTCGGTCCCGCCGATCTCTGCCAATAATAAATTTGTGATGGTTATAAATTATCACCCACATATTGCGCTCAATGTATCCCACCATATATCTTGAAAAGTAGTGAACACAAATGGTCGATAGTCCCACAATGCATTGCACCAACACAGAAAAAAGGCAAGGCATCACAACATGGGTGGGCTTGAAGAGATTTTTTTTTGTATTCATTGTTTTTCAATATTTATCACGGAAGATGTAAGAAATTATAACACGGCCAAAAAGTCATTTATGAAGCGCGGCGTGGCCCTTACCTGTGCTTGCGTGAGCTTCGGGAGTGGGACGACTTGTACGAGTAACCCGAGTACTGCGATTCGTTGTCCATTTCTCGGGTGGGCGGTGAGCGGGCTTTGCGAGCTCCGCTTCCTCCTCCTCCTCCTCCGCCCGTGCCGCACGGCTTGCCGACGCCGCCCAGCTGGCTCTTGCGCTCGGAGATGGACTTGGTGGAGAGGGCCAGCGGCAGCTTGAGCAGGTCAACCTTGCTCCTGAGGGAATCTATCTTGGAGGCCGAGGAGGGGGCCGTGGGAGAAGTCGGTGGGCGAGGGGAGCGGGTGGGGGGAGAGGAAGAGGAGGAGAGGGGCAGGAGAGGATGGCGGGTAGGAGAGTCGAGGCGGGGAGAGCGGAGGCTGCCGTGATCTGAAAGACAAACCGATAACGATCAAATCACGTGACGATAACTGCCATTTTGTCCAACAGGAATAAGCAGGATGGCTCGAAACAATCCACAGTTAAAAGAAATCAGTTCGCGTTGGGATCATGTTGGAACGCAATCTAAGCTCCACTTGATTAAAGCAATCACTCCTCCTGCTTGTTATTCTTGCGAACCTCCATGGATTATTTTAACACGGTTTTTATATTTTGGCCGCACCACATTATAAGACGCGTAAAATAGAAGCTACAATACAGGCTGCGGTTGCATTAAGCAGCCACTAGATGGAGCTACGCTAAAGAGAATACAATACAATACAGCTTTATTTCTATCGCGCTTTCACAACCGCTGCAGCTGTAACAAAGCTGTTTACAGAATATTTAACATTCTACGTCCAATAAATCTGAATAGTGATCCATATATAAGGCGCATCGGATTATAAGGTATGCGCGCGCGCGCACACGCACACACACACACACACACGCATATATATATATATAGAGAGAGAGAGAGAGAGAGAGAGAGAGAGAGAGAGAGAGAGAGAGAGAGAGAGAGAGAGAGAGAGAGAGAGA